GGGAGGGGGGAGCCAGCCGTTCCCAAGGATGCGCGTCCCATCCCACATCAAAGCGAGGGGCGAGGCGCCCCGCCACGCTGCCGCCCCACAAGGCCGCCCCCGCGGGAGGCATAGACCCGCACCCGCCCCCCAAGTTTGTATCGGCTGGCCGCAACCGGGGGCATTCATCCAGAGGCCTGGGTAGGTTGGTGGACCCGTGGACCGCCCTCCTCCGCGCCCGCCGCCCCTCTGCCTACGACTCGGGGCGATCGCTAATCTCCCACTCTCTCTCATTTCGGGCGGACTTGCGCCACTGGTCGCAAGCAGCGGGGCCCGGCGGCCGAGCGCGCGCCGGCCCGGCCGGGGTGATTGATACGAGCTGTCACCGTCAGCCGCATCGGTTTATCGAGTTTATCGAATAATAAAATCGCTGTTCCGCCCCGCGCCGACCGGCACCGCTGCCCCGCCGGTCCAGTTTCCAGCGGGCAGCGAGCGGGGGCCGGCGGGGACTAGCGGGGACCAGCGGGGACCAGCGGGGACCAGCGGGGACCAGCGGGGACCAGCGGGGACCTCGGCGGTAATGGATGCACGGCCTAGGTGGCAGCCGTACGCTGCGCTGCCCGGGCTTGAGTGGCCGCCCGAGCCCGATGACACGCCGCACGCCGCCTGTTGGCCGTCACGGCCGGGAGAAAGGGCCTAAAGTGGGCGGCGGGCGGGGCGACCTGGGGTCACCCTTTGTGCTCCGTCCACCCGTCCTTACCCAACCCAACCCAGTCCCCGGCGGCGTTGCTGCTGTGCTTGTGGGTGCCCGTGTGTGCAGAAGGACCCCTCGCTGCTCGGTCCCAACGTCGCGAAACGCATTGCCAACAGGAGCAAAGCCTGGCCAAAGAATTCCAACAAAAAGATGATCGTCGGCCGGGCCGGGCCAGTGAAGCATTTCTCCCCGCTTGAGCCACCCCCGGCCCCCGGCCCTGCCCCACCCCGCCCCTTGACAGCTTGTGGCAAGAGGCGGCACAACAGGACGCGCTAGTTGCGGGCCGACACAACACGTTGACTCCTATTGGGTTTCGGAGTCCAGTCCGTCTATCGAGCCATTCGCCGCGCGGGGCACACATGGATAGAGAGAGAGAGGGGGGGGGGGAGTGAGGGTGCACACGCGTATGTCTGTGTCTGTGGGAGGGAGAGGGGGCGGCGACGATAGTGGGAGACTTGGGGGCAGCAGCACCCGGCGCTGGCGCATCCATGCAGTGAGTGTATAGGGTTCGGAACGCCAGGGGTCATGGAGAGAGGGAGAAAGAGTGGGGGGGGGGGGGTGTTTGGTCTGGATCTGGACCTACAGCAGAGCCCCCCCCCTCTCTACTTGCATGCGCGCTGGCTGTGGCCCTGGTCTGCCCTGGGCCCCTGGGCCCTCCTCCTTCTGACCAGAACGGCCACAAGTAAGTGGGCGCCCCTGTCTGTATCTGCCTCCGGCACCCCCTCGCCTCGGCAGTTCCTGTCACCTTGTGATCCTCGAGAGAGTAAATCCATAGTGAATACCGCACCCTTAGACAAAGAGAGACTGCGCCATTCCCACTGCGCGTGCACACTGCAGCACACTTCAGAGCGGGCCTTGTGGAAGGCCAGCGCCGCCGTCTGAGAGAGAAGGGAAATACTAGCTCGTACGCATTGGTGCGGGCGGGTTGCCTATGCGCACGGAACCAGGAGGGCGATCGGAAGGCTCCCTGAGGACGCTCCACTTCCGTCCTCCTACTACCCCCCCCCCCCCCACCCTGTTTTAGTCGTTTTAGAAGACGTTTCCGGTTGTTTTCAGGGAGCTCTCCGATCGACCTCCAGAAGACTGCACGGCTGATAGCTGACCATAGGCAATCCGGGCACACGTCTGCCATGAGGACGAGTTTACCTATTCACTCTGACGGTGTTGACGGACCCCCACCAAACTTTTCTGCGCTGTACCTTTCATCATCAGTCCTCTGCCTTCCATTTGAACCATCTAACGACGTCATTGATAATAAAAGATAATAGACACATGCGATTACTTCTGGTTTGGACCATGACTGAGAATGATATCAAGGAAATATTTGCTATTCGATTTTCTTTATTACACATTTACAAACATTTGGCAGGTTATAAGACTTCAAAATTTGGAGGTCAGCAGCATGGTAACAGACTGCAATACTGTCAGTGAGATCCAAGATAGCTGAACATACAAGGGTAAATCAAAGACATAAAATTTGAAAGTAAAAATTTAAAAAAAGAGGGAACATGTTAACAGGTACCTTAAATTAAACATAAACCATAAACTATAACAGGCAGCGATCCGTGATCAAGAAAAGAGGTAACACTAAAACAGTAACAATACACAACAACTTTACTTTGCTGCTCAGTCGGCCTTCCTCCCAACAGATGGCAGTGTGTCAAGTTAGCCACATTATATAGTGATCAAAACCAAGTGTAACAATGACAGATAGATAGCATTAAACCGAACAATCCTTGGCAGTTTAAGATAATTCCACTGACGGCTGATAAAAATGAGAAGACACAACATGTTAAGGGGGGCCACATAACAAAAGAATTGAAAGCAAGTTTTCTAAACATTGACTTGTATTAGACCAAAAGAAATGAAAACTTTATTTTAATTAGAGCGCCTTGCCTAAAAATTTACTTGAGAATTAATTTCAAATCGGAAGAGATGAATGTTAGACTGGATTTCAAGAAGTAAACGGAACAATATTCTATCTTTGGTTTGAAACTTGGCTTGTAGCATCAGTGAGACACTACAATGATATACCTTAGAAGTGCGGCCACCCCAAAATATTTTATTATTGTTGTGATAACTAGCTTCACAGCAGTCAAGTGCATCTAATGCAAACAAAGAAATCTAACATTCCCTCATAGAAAAAGGGTCTAAGTTAAATTAAATGATTTCAACACCGAGTTAAAGGTCACACTTACTTGACAGGTTGAATGTAAACTATTGAAGAAGCTTCTGAACACAAATGATAATAAAGAACTAAGAGTGATAGGAGAGATTGGTGGTGGATGATTGATTTGAGCCACAACATTGAATTAATACCAACTTTGTACTTGGATTGCACAAAACAAATAAAACAATCTCATATAACAAATGTACAAATAAATAGAAGAATGGAATTAACAATTGCTAAATCAGCAGCTTATCCTCTGTCAATTATTATTTAGTGATACAAAATCAAAGGAACTAAAATCTGTTTCATAAACATAACTTCCCATGCCTTCCCCCAACAACACAATAGGGGAACATGTTGAACATGATAATGTTTCTATGGTTTGCATGTACACTGTATTCAAATAATTTTTGCAAACAATTCTTCCCTTTCAGTAAGTTGTGTCCACATAGTTTTTTTTTCTCTGATAAAAGATAATTAAAATTGATTAACAAAATGCAAGTTTTCCCCAGTGAGATCACCTGGTGTAGGTGATATGTGCAAACAGCAGAGATACAAGGTTGATAGATTACAAGCACTATCAAATACATTTAAAATTAAACATACTAAACCTTAAAGTTTTTCTAGTTTTCAGTACATTTTAGCTACTATGGAGAATAAGTAGAGTGCAAAATTATTAGAAGTACAAGTGTAAAGTAATATGCATTATGCATATTGCTCTATACTACACAGTCCGAAACTTCATAGGGAGTTCAATATTGAGGGGTTTCAAAATGAGCAATTCAGTGGTGAGCAGATAATATATCATTAAGTAATTGCAGTGGAAAAATGATACATGCCATACTAGCTGGAGATAACTTTATTAAGATATGCCAAAATTTTACAATTGAAACTTCTGTGGTAAAATTATTGGAATTTATGTTTTGACTAAGCAAGCTAATAATTAAAAACTGTGGTTATCACGAATGAAATGTCAATACGCAAATAAGTTATAGTATGGTTAAGAACCAAATACTGTTTCCTTTCAAACAGGCAACATATTGTAACAGGAAGAAATGCAAACAAAAAAGGTTCAAATACAGCTGTTACAAGGAAGTCCCGGAAAAAAGGAAAAAAAGTTGTCCTAAAATCCACTAAAAATTTAAAATAGCTCACACTACATGTTTGCAAAGTTTGAAGCACCGATGATTGAATTTGAAAGATAGACACTAAGACCAGGGACCTTTGCTGCATCCTAGAGCTACAATGTAATTCCTAACCAATCAAAGTTTCCTCTGCAGAATTTCATTTCAAGGCATGGCAGAAAATGTAATACAGTAGTCTACATAAAGAAATGATAGATAAAAATGGCAGTGATTCAATATCTCACAAATGCAGATAAAGTACTCAATGATTGAGGTATATTAGGCCAACCTTTTCCACAAAGAAAGAAAGAACTGATTGCAAACAAAGCTGCATATCTTAAATTGTTTCAAAAACAGTTTAATAACAAACCCATTGTCATATATGACAAAAACTTTCAACAATGATCAAAAGAGAATATACAGTATTATGTACAGTCATCATCATTTACATTATGTTACATGCAATATTTACAGAACTGCACACTCATATATGTAAGAGCTACTTATTTACAATAGTTTCACTTAAAAATGAATCTAATTATGTACAATGAAAGGCTAACAAAAATAAATAAACTCCCTTATGAGGATTAATAATTAGAAATACGAGCAAGTAAAGGCAGCCTAACCTGTACCTGCCAAAAAAACAACAATTAAATGGCTAAAATAGGTAAGTCTTTACTTTTCTTTAAATTATCATTAATAAATAATCAATTAATCAATCAATTACAAGAGAGGCCACAGCACATCTGATGGTTACACAGAAAGCTCCTTTCAACTCAGTGTACTCCATGAAATGTACAGTAAGAAACAGATAAATACTGTAAAATGAATCAACAGTACACTACATGTGAGTACACACTAACAATCACTGCTGGGTGTTATCAACAGATAACACTCGAGCAGATATTAGACTACCATTGGATATAAGCTCTAAGTTTAGCTAAAAAAATTATCTATGAGGAAACAGAGATAGATAATAGATTTTCTCTAAGCAGCTAGTGTTGAATAAGGAACTGGGCTGCAGAGTACTGCTAGGCAGACTGCAAACCACATTCATTGTGATTTTCATAAAATAACAAGCTAAACTTGAGTACTGAACTTGGCTTGGCCACCACGATCACATCAAAGAAATTTCAATTTTGGGAACTACCTTGACAATATTAAAAATTACCTTGTGGATGGTTATCATTTTCATGATAATTGTCCCAAGAACGATAACGAGGTAAACTCTGGTGATAGGATCTATGGTCTCTATGATCACGTCTATGATCTCTATGATCTCTTTCTCTCTCTGGTCTCTGATCTCTCTGATCCCTCTGGTCTCTTGGATCTCGTTCACGATATGACTGCTCTTCATTACTACTACCCCCATGCCACTCCCAATCCTTACCCTTAGGACGGAATTTCCCTTTATGATGCCAAGCATTGGAATTGTTGGATGCAGAGTTATGAGTAGAACTGTGTCCATTATTTGATGGAGAAGCTGAACTAGAGGGATTCCATGATTCTCTGTGCTGGAAGAATTTTTTCTTAAAATGTTGAGATGATAAGGACTCACTTCGTTGATACTTCAAAGGCACAGATGTAGCGCTAGATGAAGCTTGTCTGTCTTTTCCATGACCAGGTAAAGTTGCATTTACTGGGCTATATGGACCGTCTAATGGGGCAGGGCTGAAGGGCGCATTAGGAACAGGTGATGAAGGTGACGGAGTCCTGGCAACACCGGCTCTGTCAGCTGTATGTGGCGCCTCTAATACTGGCGGTGAATCCCTTTCAGGTGATGCCTTTGCTGGTGGTGTTTTAAAGAGTCTAGGCATCTTACTTAATGCTGGAGGTAAGGGTTCACCATGGCCTATACCGCTGTCAGGACTGGTATTACAGCTTGCTGTTGTCTCCCCTGCACGAGGAGAGGCACCTTCCGTACTTCTTCTCCTTTTATCCAGTTCTGTGGAAGCAAATGCTACCAGGCGGTCAAACTGGGAACTGATCTTGTCCTTCCATTCTCCTCGGCCGTCATCCATTTCACCATCGTCTGCAGAAGGGAAACAGAGACAAGTTATTACAAAAAAATACCTTAAATATGAGAAAAAAGTGTAAAAACATTTGGACCACTAACCAGGAGAGCGATCATCAACAGAGTTTGGCAGGTGAGAGGAACTAGGGTGGGCTGGGTGACTACTTCTTGGTGATATTGGTAATGACAGTCCTGCATTTTCTCCATCCTAAGGGCAAATTTCATGAGCACAAATATTAGACATTATTTTTTTAAGGATATAATTTTATGTTATATTTACTATTATTTATTTATCAATATAGACTTACATGTTCTGCAGCATCAAGGCATTGCTTTTTAAATGGTCTTGAAGGTCCATGTATGAGAGGAGATGATCTTTTACTTGGAGGTCTATCAGGGCGATTAGATGTCCGATCACTTGTTGGACCATTCAATGTGCCTTCCATTTTTATACTTGAATCAGCACTACATGATTGAGGCTTATCTTCTAGATGCCCATCTGCAGACCGTGTTCTTTCAGGATCTAAATTGAGAACAGAATGTAATGAGTAAAAAATAGGCATTGAAATAACATGCTAGGTAAGTCAAATAACAGTAAAACTCAATATTTTGTCACATCTTTTTTTAGATGAAAAAAAAAATGAGTAAGATGTTTAAGTACCTAGATCAGGTGATGGCTCATGAGGGAGTCTTGAACTGTCAGCAGCCATTAATGTATGGGAGCTTTCATCAGCCTCTTCCTTGATAGTTGATGTTGATGGGCCAGATGTAGCAGAACTGCCTAGCTCTTGCCCATTGAGGATACGCGCATGCAGGGTGGCGGCCAAGCCTTCAACTGGAGCAAAGTCCGCACTTGGTGTAGACTCACTGCGCGAGGGAGCCTGGGAAATAAGAAAAGCATAGACATTAAATTCAGAAGCTTCGGCGTTGTACCGCTCGTATCATGGTGTGACTGATTTCCGTCGAAGTTGTACCTTGGCACTTGACAGCGGGGGCTTCGAGTCAGTAAAGTACGACTCGTGATACGGCTTGATATCTGCACGCGGAAGCTGCACCGGGGTGTAGGGCGCGCTTGGAGGACGGTGACGAGCCTGAGCTTGGCTCTGCGACTGGGACTGCGACTGAGCGGAGGACGCCGCCTGCTGGCTGGGGTAGTGGATGGGGTTGCGGTTGAATGCCACGTGCGCCAGCGTGGCCAGTCCATGGTGCATATTGGCGTGTGGCGGGGACTTGGGCCGGTGCTGAGGGTAGGCCAAGCCTTCCAGGGGCGGCCCAGTCCCAGCATCCGAACTTTGGCCTGGTCCTTCGAGTCTGGGAGGGTAGGGGCTTTCACTTCCACCCACGTTACTCGTATCCTCAACCATTCGGACCATCCTCATTCCTGCACAACGAAAATAGGGTGTAAAAGATGTTTAAAATTCCATTCACTGATAAGATGGAGGTAAAAATAATTAAAGATGGGATTAATGCCAGAAGACACAACATTGTCTCTGAAAGAATAAACTCTCAATGAAACCAAAGACAACCAAGAGGATGGTGAACACAAGAAAAAACTAGAACATCACATTAGAAATGCACAAACAGCAAAGCACTTTCCAATCACAACCCCCATGCGTCACTTGTGATAAAATTCATGCCCATAACTAAATTCCTTATTGACAGCATGCTCCCATTAACAGACCACTTACTCCTTTCGACAAAGAAACCTTTATTCAGCCTAAGTAGTGTAATTTTATTGCATTGTAAAAAAGGACAATTCCGAATTGAAATGAGTGTTTTTAGGTATATATGATTTGGGATAGCCTTGAAAACACAACTTAAGAGTACAATCTGTCAAAATTCCGAGAAATACTAACCATGTGAATCAGGGCGAATGCTGACCCTTTCTGGACGTGGCGGGATGTTGGCGTTGACAACAGAGTGTGGGGTGGATGTGGGTGCAGAGGTTGTATTAGGACGAGGAGCTTGAGAGGCACTTGGGAATGCACTCATGTCCACAGCAGCATCAATTATTGTCTGATTGGAAATCTCCAATGTGCGCTCGATTTCCCCAGAAACAAGATCACCAATGCTACGCATTGCAATGGCACTTTTACCATCGTGGCCTGTGATAACAGACAACAGGGCAAAATTGAAGACCAGGGCAGTTCTCCTCCCCACTCAGCACATTTTTTTTTAGATACAGAAATTGGCAGAATGTTCATAAGTAATTTTACAGCCAAATTATAATTTTAACTAAAATTGTACAATTATTAAGATCTACAGAAAAATAAAATAAAATAAACTCGGTTTAAATAAGCTACTAGGGGGAGCTGCACAGGCACAAGGCCTCACTTAGAGCAGAAGCACATATAAAGTATTAAATACACAGCAGACAAAACCGTTCTAAAATGTTGAGTATTATGAAAGCAGCCTAAAAACAATGCCAGTGTATTGCTATGTGATGGGCTATACAATGTGATAATGTGTGAGCTGACAGAAATTAACAATTTTCAGGATTTACCAATAAGCATAGGACAGACTTTAACAAGACAACAGAAAAAGATAAAAAGAAAAATGGAGTGACTAGTGTCGATCAAAAGTGCATCAATCTACACAAATTGTAGCCCACGAGATAAGATTACCAAAAATGATTTGGGACAACCTAATGATTTATACTACATGAAACCCTTCAACAGGTCGCAAAAAACAAACTATTGTTGTAATGAAACCTACAACAGGAAGGACCACTACGCAAGCAACTATTTTACCCAAACAACTTCAAAATAAAATAAATAAATATATGATTGCTACACAAAAATTAGATGGTTACTCATGCTCTACTACAGTCAGTACTAAATTACCACCCAAAATTTCGAGGACTAACCTTGAGAATGCTCGGCCGAAGCTGCCGCCAGTCTTTCTTGAGAGAGGTGTCTTCTCAGAGCCAACTTGGCTGGGGACACCTGAGTATAATCTGGCTGAGCACTGTGAGAAGACTGCTGAGCTTGCCCTTGCTGCTGAAGCACTGACACACTGCGTGGAGGCTGAGGAGGCCCCAGAGGGGGACATATCTGTTGACTTGACGAAGGAGTATTGGATTTCCTTGGGGGTGCTTTGACAGGTGCAAGAGAAGGAGATGCACTTTGAGGGTGCGGGTGACTAGGAACAGTCAGATGACCAGGGTGGTCCAAAGAGGATGAAGGACCACTGGTACTTTGCCCTGTACCTCCGCTTCCATTGTAATAATACCCACTTGGGCCAGGGAAAGACCTAGAAGAAAAAGAAGAGAATTCATTAGATAAATTACTTCAAACTAAAAATGTTGATAAAACTTTTAATAAATTTAAATGAAGCTTATTTCTAAAAAAATATCAAAGACCCACCCTTGAGAACTGGAAGACGAATGATTAGGGTGCTGCATTATTGATTGTTGTTGCGCTAAAAGTTGCTGATGGACATGAGTTGGATGCTGCTGTGTTGGCATTGATGAATGTTGCATTCTTTGCTGATGATCTGACAGCATCTGCTGCTGTAGCTTCTGCTGCATCTGTTGTTGTGGACTGGTCTGTGATTGCTGTTGCGCCTGAGGTGAGGGTGTCACTCCATTTTGTAATTGCATTTGCTTGTGGTTTTGCCGATCTTCATTCAGGACACTTGTAATTATACTCTTCAAACGATCTTCAAAGTTTACCACCTTTGGAGGCTCTTGTACCCGGCTCCCTGTAAAACTGACGGGTTTGTTGTCACGGGGAGGAGGGGCCCTGCAAATTTAAGATAGAAATTAATTCAGATTAAGATTTGTAAACATGACAATGAAGAGTTAGATGACTTAAAATCACAAAATGAATACCTATGCTGAACTTTGGGAAGTTCTGGTCTCTGTTGCATAGCAGCTCTCACTCTTGCTTGTTCTTGTGCCAGAGCTTGGGCTTGGGCTTGGGCTTGGGCTTGAGCCTGCGCCTGAGCTTGAGCCTGAGCTTGTGCTTGCGCTTGGGCTTGCGCTTGGGCTTGAGCTTGAGCTCTGGCCTGAGCCTGGGCCTGGGCCTGAGCCTGAACTCGGTCCTGAGCAGCCTGAGCAGCCTGAGCTTGAGCCTGTGCATGAGCCTGAGCCTGGGCGTGGGCCTGAGCTTGGGCATGGGCATGTGCCTGCTGGTAAGAATCTAAACTGTGACCTTTTCCAGATGCACTCGACATTGGTGGGTACGGAGAGTTGCGGTAGTCATTTGCACCCAACTGGGTGACAGCGTGTGCAGCATTTGGAGGACTGTTGTCAATTTGCGGTGGATACTTGGCTTGAACTGGACTCAAATTATCACTAAAACAAAGCATTACAGATCTGTTAATAGATGAAACTCATCCCAACACATGAACAAGAACAGCTGAGATGATTACCTAATAGCATGAGGCAAGCCTGTTGGGTGTGCTGTAGGCTGACCAGGAGTATGAGTGGGCAAATGAGCCGGCATTACAGGTTGTGTATGAGCTGGATGGAGAATTTGTGAAGGAGTGGTCTCCCGTATTTTGCCTTGTTCTATCTGCCGACCTGTTTCAAGTATCTTCTGGGCCAAAATTTCAGGATTTTGCTCTTGGATACGGCCTACATGAGGAACATCAGGCCAATCCTGAGATCTTGTTCTTACATCTCTTGACTTCCTCTTACCACCAGGTGATACTAATGGTGGTTGACTGATTAAATCAGATTGGGGAGGAACAGCCGGACCTAGTTCTGCCTCCAGTTTTGAAACCTGAAACATGAAAAATGACCAAGTTTGAAAAGAACCAAGTTTTAAAATAATGAAAGGGAGCCAATAAGTTAAAGAAAGGACTTAAAATTAAAAGCTCCTCAGAAAAAGAACCTCAGAACCACATTGATGGTAAAAAACTGCAATACATTCTAAAACAATGATTAAGCAAAGCAGTTCTCTTCACCACAACACCATAATTGTGCCAGGAAGAAAGCAAAGCGGTGCAGCAGGTGGAAACTAAATTAGCATTGTTGAAAAAATTAAAAGCATTAATATCATTCACTCATCACACATCTTTCACTAAACCAGACCTAAGGTACCAGGGATGGGGAAATATAATAAAGCTGTTATAAGGAGACATGGAACAATTGCCTAAAATAATCTCTCTACAGCAAAATGAAGATTAAAATTACATTGCATTGTGAGCCAAGACGTTAAGAATATACTGACTATTTGCAAATCAGGCATATCAAACAGTATAGAACAAGGATGAAAGGAAAAATATTTCATGATTTTTACTATACTTCCTAAAAGGAGTAACTGGATGTTATTAAGTAAGCCGTGCTACTGCAGAAGGCAAGAGTTCAATAGCAGTACCTTGCTCTTGAGCTTCTTGCGGTAGCTGAGAGTGGCAGAGATCTCACGCAGAATGTGCTCCTGAACCACCTCCAGCTGCTGAGACGGGGCCCCATTAGCCAGTGGTGGAGGAATATACTTGGTGCCACTCTTCTTGTTAGAGTCATGGACGTCGTGATGACGAGCACAGGCCAATTTGACCTGGTCTTGCTCAAGTGTAGTCACCTGTTTGTCGAAAGGGGGGTGTTAACCTCATACGTGCCTTTGTGCAATACAACTAATAGTACAAAGTTACACGTTGCTTAAAACAAAACTCAATCACAGAAGGTGAGAAAATAAAGACAACAAAACACAGCAATGCAACATAAAATTCAAAGCATTTGGAAGAGAGAAAACATTCAATCAGTAATTTTTCTTATGGTTCTTTTTCCACACTTTTTCCCATATTCCTGATATTGTAGCACTGCCGCCACAAAATTTACCACATTCAGACACACAAGAGATATACTAGAAATAAACAAACAAGAAACCAGTACCTGGTTTTGAAGACGTGCTGCCTTTGCTTGAAGATCTTTGTGTCGCATAACAATCTCCTTTGCTTTAGCTAGTAGATCTACAGGCGAGGTGGCATTGATGTCTAGCTCAGTCATTCGAGCCTTAAGAAGTACCACACTGTCATCTATGAGAACTTTTATCTGCTTCTCTAGTTGAGCAGCGCGACTCTTCAAAATATCATTCTTTTCCTAAACAAAATGTGAGGAACGAGTATTGTAAAATTATTGTTTGCAAAAACAACACAAGCCGAAATCTGTTGCAAAGCTAACCTTTTCTTGATCGATTTGCTCTTGAACTTGGAGGCGATAACTAGGCTTCTTCATATTATCCATGGCCATCATATACTGAGTTCTAATCAAATCTAGTAGAATCTGAAGTGCATAAGGAGTATCTGCTGGCGCAGAGGGAATCTCCAGTTCTTCATGTACTAAAGTCGGTCCAATCACAGCAAGGCTTGTTAACTGCTGATCTACACAACCTCGAGCAGGAGGCAATTTTTTGCCAGCAGCTGGAAAAGAAAACATAACATTAAAATACTGGACATATACAATTGGTCTTAGACTGTATATTTGCACATACATTTTACTACATTTTGAGAGTTCCATATTAGCACTAACCTTGAGGGGAAGTACTCAGTAAAGTCTGGCTGTGAAGAAGATCCAGACCAGTTATTTTAATGGCTTTCTTTGGTTTTCCTTTCTTCACTCGCCCCTTAGCTGCCTTTCGAACCGGAGCACGTTGAGTTGGAGCAGGAAAAGATGGTCCAGCAGCGGCTCCTTTGCTAGGTCTACCTGGTAGCTTTCTACCAATCTTCTTTTTAGTCTGTCTTCCGCGACCTGGTAGACAACAATGGGATTATGCGGATTTTCAGAAAAACACTGACTTGAAATTTCAGTTTAGGGAGTAACAAAAGCTGATACAGCTTCAAGCCAAATCCTTACCAGATGATGCATTGTTGTTTTCTTCATCACTACCACTACTATGGCCATTTGGATAAGAAGCCCACACTTTGCGTGCATTTTCTGCCTCAGAATCAGATGAATCAGAATCATCCACACTCATCTGATTGACAGCCTCCCGCTTAGCGTTTCGAGTTGCTCTTATTCCATTTGCTGGAAGGTCAGTATTTGAATTGGAGTCTGAGTTGCAATTAGATGATATAAAACCGCTGTTTGAGTTGGACTTGTCCGTCAGCATAGCCACATTGGCATCCCTCTGTGAACATAACACACACAAAACACAAATTAGGTGTAATCACAGTATGAAAAGAAAATCACTGCCATTGAAGCATAACCCATCCACCACGAGTGATCGCAAACGTAGGAAGCATCGCAAGTGAACTTGAAGACCTGCACCCTCCTCTCCTCCTGGTACCTCCAGGTACCTTGTCAAGGAAAACATTAAACAAGAAGAGAGGTCAGGTATATTCCATAATGCCATAGTTAGAGTGGATTATTACAGAAGCACTTATAAAAATGTTGACTACTTTAAGGTCAGGATGCTTGATGCAAAGTAGCATGTAGTATGGGTGCTGAGGAATAACTCTACCTATTAGTAGTTTAAGAGAAATAAACTAACTAGGTATATGTTTTTTATCCTGAGCATATTTTTAAAAAGTACTCGTCAATAATAAAGTGGTAGAGAGAGAGTTTAAAGCTTTGCACTGATAGAAAGAAACAACAGATAGAATATCCAAGTGCAGGGTGCTGCAGCAACGTCATACATCAATACTACACAAACTAATCATAGCTACCCCATAGGAATATGATAACACATTCCATAAAGCTGAAAATTTACCCATATGATTTATCTTAAACTTTAACAGGAAACTGTCAAACACCACACTGATCACAGTTAATAACAAAAACCTTCAAAAGGGTATGGAAGGAGAAATACCACATGTGCTTATGGACAATTATGGACAATTCACCCATTTATACAATACCACAGGCAAAATCCTTCAGTAATAGAACCAATGTAAGTAGAACACAATTAGGTCTCATTTTGGCTCTTGGGACGTTATTCACATTAAATGTCCAAAGCAAAAAACACACACACACCAAAACAAAAACAAAAAAAAACAATCAAACGGGCACTTTGAGTAACACAAGCAAATATCCCCCTCACTTTCAGAATGTGTACATCACATCAAAGGCTCCTGAACTAAAAGAAAAAAAAAATCACTGCAATTCACAGAAGCTACAATAGCACATTGGCCTAACATTAGAAAGTTAGCCAAAACCCATCAATAAACCCATAACCATACTCCAGAATTTTAAGTTAACCCAATAGAAGTGTGTAATGATGTCCCAATGAGTTAAAACATGAGATTGTGGAAAATATATTACGCAAGCGCGTCTGATTAAACGATGAATGACAACTCAATGAGGATGAAAGAAAAGCTTAAAATAAAATGAATAGGAATTATTTTCTTTGGAATTCGTTTCAAAGTCCACATCCAACATGTGCTTCTTGGGCTAGGGTAAATGGTTTGTGATTCATTGCCTTTCTTAACAAAAAGAAAAAAATAATATTCTGGCAACAATTTGAAAAGATTTTAAAAAGTTATTAGAAAAAACAAGGATTTGATAAATCATCTTAAAACTGGATTTCAAGAATAAATGGGTGCTAAGTGCACTCATAACTAAAACAAAAACAAATGACAAGCAGGTTAATGTACACTGAAAGTTAATGCCCAGGGAAGGTAGTACAAGCCAGAATTTTCAAATAAATATGGTGTCTACCATGCTCTGGCATTGATGTTAAATTGCCAATCATATATCTCAAACTACCCATACTGTGCAGAGATTTAAAAGGCCACTGTGTCTCACTTTCAACACGCCAACCAGCAAAGAAGTGGTGACGATGAACCACGAGTAAACAAAGAATAACATTGACAAACAATGAAGAAAACACACATGTGTGTTAGTTCTTCATGTAGAGAAAAAGGTCAACAGAAAATTTTAAAATGCAATTAGACCAAAGAAATGGCTGACATGGCTGTTGGATTGTGAGACACATGCACATGGGATGACAAAGATGTGCGCGCGGCTAGCAATTGGTTCAGACCTCTGCACAGACTTTTGTTTCTACATCACTCCAATAGCACATGAATGAGGAAGGAAAAGAAATAAACCTTTTCGCGTACCCGAGTCCTGGGATTCTTTAGCTTCTGGAAGTAGCGTTCCAACTAGAAAACAAAATGAAACAAAAAAACAAAGAGGTTAGCAAACATTAGCAGAAAGTAGAGAAGGAAGAGAGAGAGAGAGAGCAGCAACATTTAGGGTATAAAAACTTCAAAAAGAAAAAAAAAATAGAAGA